CAGGGAAGCATCCAGTTGCCCCCACGATGTGAGCTGCAGGCTGTTACCGCTGCCTGGCAATGCCTTGAGGTTCACAGCAGCAGGGCCAGGATTCAGGAGGAATCACTGAAAGGTGCAGGCGTGGGCGGCTTTGTCCAAGACAGGCCATGCCCCTGCCACTGAGTGCAGGACCTGACACCCAGAGAAACTGCAGCATCTTCTTCTGGAAGGTGGAGACAACAGCCCCTGCCGTGGGTACTACAAGGCTTGGGGAGGCACAGCACAGCCCCGGGGAAGGGGAGCTTTTCTTACCCCTGGGGTGACAGTCTGAAGCTGGTCCTGGGGACAGGATGTTTGAATAGAAAAGGGACAGGCTTCTACAGTGGAGAGCACTGTTTCTTGGTTGGTTGTTTTGTGGTCCTGAGGATTGAGCTTAGGGTCTTTGCACTGAACTACATGCCCAGCCATTTTATATGTTTGAGACAGGCTGCTGAGTTTCCTGGACTGAGCTTGTGATCCTCCTGCTTCAGCCTCCTATAGTGAGGGTATTGCAAACATGGGCCACCACACCCAGCTGAGCACTGCGTTTTGATTATACCTGAGATTCAGTCTGCAAAGGTGACAACAAAAAGAGGTCAATGTCACTGAATACCATTCACAACAGTACCACTCTGGAAGTAGTGGGGTTGGCCAAGGGGGTCAGGCGGGGAAAGCATGCTGCAGAGCCTGTGTGATGGCGTCTCAATTCCATGGGTTCCTGGGTACAGCTGGTGTCTCCAGCTGGCTGGTCCCTGGCCCTGGGAGAATAGGACAGGCTGGGTGTATGACAGTCAGATGACTGCCCTGAGGGGACTGAAGGAAGAGGGCAGTCTCTCCACAATCAGGATGGAAAATATAGCCAAACAAAACTATGCTTAGGATCCTTCGGTTCAAGAGCGTGATGATTGGGTGTTCATGTCTTAGGCATGAGATGTGTCTCCCTCAAACCTTGTTACGACATGGGCACATTACCCGTCTGATGTGAAAAAAAAAAGCCATGCTTAGAGCCAGGTGTGGTGGTGCACACCTATAATCCCAGCACTCTGGGAGGTGGATGCAGGATGATCCCAAGTTCAAGCCCAGGTTGGGCAGTTTTGTGAGATCTTGTCACAACACAAACTCCCACAGGAAATAAAAACCACACACACAGCAAGTCCAATATGCAAAAGTCCTCCTGCCCCAAGTAGGTATGGACTGTGTGGTTAGCTACTGAGCTCCCTGTCTTTGAAAGTATTCAAGTGGAGGTGGGCATGCTGAAACGATTCTTCTGTGAGCTACAGGGATGACGAAAGAGGTCTCTAAGAAAAATACTCAACAGAAAACAAGTATTCTTCCTTTAACCAGCTGGAAAGCTGGATTTCAGGTACAGCTAGATCTGAGAGCACAAAAAGACGTCACTGGACATTTGCCATTCTCTGTTGCTTAGCTTTTTAGCTCCCCACATTACCTTCCGTCTTCCTAGTCAGCAAACTCTGCAGATAGAAGAATGTTATCTTTCCAGTGTTGCAGGGTCGGTTCTGGAACTGGGTTCCTGGGTCACAGTTTGAGGGTAGGTGTCCTAACTTACCTCATCCGGAGCCAGGGCTGCACTCTCCCCATCCCCGAAGCTGTACCAGGGCAGACGGTGGAAGCCCCACAAGGGAAACTGAGGCGCCTTTGGCAAAAAGTGAAGTGACTTAAAACGACCCCTCCAGCTGCAAGGTCCACCCTGAGCCTGCAGGGCCATCCCCCAAGGTGGCGCCCATTGACACTGCGTCCCCGCCAGGCCCGGGGGCTGCTGCAGAACCGCGTGCTGCTGTGGAAGGAGCAGGCCGAGGCCAGCCGCGGCCCGTCACGCGCCCACTCCCCCGGCCTGCTGGGCCCCGTGCTGGGGCCACCCTACCCCTCGGGCCGCCTGACGCCCACCCGCCTGGACATGGTGAGGCCCTGGCCGCCCCTGCTGCCCTTCGTGGGGCCCTGGTCGACCCCCACGCTCCCGCTCTACGCCGCACCCCCCGCGCCGCCCTTCCGCCTCGGTACGGTCTCCGCACCCCCCTGGTGGCCAGGCCGCCGGCCGCTCAATCCCTACGCCGGCGACGTGTGGGACTGGGGGTGGGGCTGGGGGCGGGGCTGGGGGCGGGGCTGGGACTAGGCACGCCCGCCCGCCCCGCCCCACCGCCCCTGCCCTCTGCCCCTTGCAGCCCCCGCGGCCCCTGGGCGACTTCGGCTCCCCGCGCAGCCGGCACGGCTCCGGCTCCTACGGCCCTGAGCCCGCCGAGGCGAGGTCCGCGTCGCAGCTGGAGCCTGAGCGCCGGTCTCTGCCGCGGACGCCGTCGGCCTGTGAGTCCCGGCCCAGGGCGAGCGGGCAGCCTGGCGGCGGGAGGGGGTGTGGCGGGAGCTGTCACCCACGTGCACCGCTGCCCAGCAGCCTCGCTGTACGCCGGCGGCGCGCAGCGCTCGCGCTCCAACTCCTTCGGCGAGCGTCCGGGCGGCGGCGGCGGGGGCGCCCGCAGGGTCCGCGCGCTGGTCTCACACTCCGAAGGCGCCAACCACACGCTGCTGCGCTTCTCGGCCGGGGACGTCGTGGAGGTGCTGGTGCCCGAGGCCCAGAATGGCTGGCTGTATGGCAAACTGGAGGGCTCTTCCGCGTGAGTGCGGGTCTGGGGGACGTGCGGTGGCGGGAGGGCAGAGGCCGGGGCCACAACGCCAGAGACCTCCAGGACGGGCCTCCCCAACCCCTGCATCTTAAATGGTTCTCTCCTCCCATCTCCAGCCTGCATCCGTTTCCCCATCTGTTACGCGGGGATAGGAAGCACCTTCTCCCCGAGTTCAGGGGGGCAGACCTTGAAAGGCAGAAAAAATAGGACAGGCTCACAACTGAAATCAAGCCAGACCAAGTACTGAGGCAGGAGGACTGCAGGTTGGGGCTGAGCCTTGATTACACAATGAGATCCTGTCTCAAAAAAGAAAAGCTGAAATCAGGCTGTGTTGATATTTTGACACCTGGAGTGGAGCGGGAGACATCGGGCAACACGAACGCTGCGTCTCCAGAAAGCCCTGGAGAGCGTAGAGCTAGCAGCCAAATGGGATGCACAGGACTGGTTTACTGCGGGAGGAAAGAGGGAGAGGGTACTGGGGTCACGCAGTGCCCCCGTAGAGCTATATGGGTAGGCCAGCAAGATGCCCACTCCCACTGTACCATATGAGAAAAGAGAAAATGGAGTAGGGGGAGGCATACATAAGTGGGTGCATGTGCAGTTTGTGGAGGGATGGGTGGTAGTGTGAGTTTGTGCAAGAATAGGTGAGTGCATGTGTGTGCAGGGGGTGTGTGTGTGGTGGCTGAGTGGGTGGGCATGGGGGCCTGCACCAACTGAGGGGTGGCCAGAAGGTGTCTGAATGGTCTGTGGGTGAGGGGTGGAGAGCATGCGCAGTGAAGATGACCTGTGGGTGCTGCCCAGTAGGGTGAGCAGGTGCAGAAGGGGGACAGGGGTGAGAGGTGACTGAGGCCAGGAATGGGGTGTCCCTGGAGTGCTCATCTGCAGGCCCATATCAGACCCCAGGGTGTAGCAGACTTCTGGGCACCTGGTTGGAAACCTTCTAGACCAGTGACAGCAAACGCCTCAGCCAGCTGTGATCATTGAAAGCTCTAAAGGCCCACTTAGGGCAAGTGACTGCAAGGTGCATCCTCAGTAGGCACTTCCCGGTGAGGACTGAAGGGCATGCAGGGCCATGGGTCTCTTCTCTTGGTTGGAGGTGGCAGTGCTCCAGGGGCCTTTCCGTGAGGATGCCACTGAGCAGGCTGTTCAGGGTGTAAGGTAGCTCTTCGGAGACTTAGCCTTTCAGGGGTTCTGTTCTGCAAGAAGCTGCACCCTAAAGGTGTAGTGAGTCTCCAGCCAGGCAAAGACTCAGAGTGAAGGCCAAGTGCAGTGGACCCAGTGTGTGTGTGTGTGTGTGTGTGTGTGTGTGTGTGTGTGTGTGTGTGTACATGTGCCTGTGCAGCCCCGGTGCCCTGGGTGAAGGGATCCCTGTACACTGGGAGTCCCAGGGCAGAGTGAAGGCCCGGGCTGGAGTCAGAAGAGCACAGCGTTGGAATCAGGCATCCTGGGCTTGGGTGCCCCTTCCTGTGGGCACCTCTGTGGCCCCTCCCGCCACCACCTGTACCCTTTGTTGACACCAGTATCAGTGCCTTGTCATCAGCCTGTGTGTGACTCTGTCTCTCCATGGAGGGCCGCATGTCTTGCTGGGCTCACCACTTGGGTGTCGTGAGTAGGCAAGGGAGCCGCACCCGATTGCTTTCCTTCTGGGATTTCCAGTTCCTCCTCTTGAAGGCGCCTCAGGGGACTATAAGGAAGGAAGGAAGTACAGGTTAGGGCCAGACTGTAAGGCCTGCAATGTCAGGAAATACTTCCTTTTGGGAGTAACCAGGTCACTATCTGCAAAGCCCCCAAGCAGAGCCAGGCACTGGACAGCAGGTGGTGTTGTCTACCCTTCCTGGAATTGTTTTGACCCTCACTACTGGCCTTGTTCAAGGGAACCTCTGTCTGCCCTACAGGAGTGGCTGGTTCCCTGAGGCCTATGTGAAACCGTTGGAGGAGGTGCCCGTGAATCCCATGACCCCCTTGAACCCCATGACTGCCATGAGCCCCTTGAGCCCCGTGAGCCCCGTGAGCCCCAAGGGCTCCATGAACGAGCTGTCTTCCAGGTACCTGGGTGGGATGGCACTCCCATGGGGGGTTGTGCCTGGTCACTCCTGGGTGCATCTGTGAGGTGCAGTCTCTGGGGTCTGGCCCTTCAGTTCCCAGAGAGCTACTCTGCCACCCCACCTCTTCCCACTGAAGGCCATCATGTCCCCTATCTGCCTCTTCTTGAGTTCAGGGCAGGGGCCCAGCAGCTGAGGTGGGAGTAGCAGGGCCAACCCTGACTCTTGCTCCCCTCCTTCCTCTGGACTCAGGTCCTACCCACTCCGGGGCAGCCACAGCCTTGACGACCTCCTGGACCGGCCAGGCAACTCCACAGCATCCCCGGAATACTGGGATGGCCAGTCCCGCTCCCGAACCCCAAGCCGGGTCCCAAGCCGCGCCCCCAGCCCTTCCCCCACACCCTTGCCTGGCAGCCGCCGCAGCAGCATGGGTGCAGCCAATGACATTAAGGTGAGGTCCCCCCACCTGTCCTCAGCCCTTTCCTGCTGGTGGTTGCTGGGCAAGGGACCCCCCACATGGGTCCTTCCTGGAGCATGGACAGAGACCTTCACCTTGCTTAGGCCATCAAGACCAGGGTTCTGGGCCAGAGCATGGCTGGAGCTGCACAGCAGGGTGGGCACCTTCCATGGGATCTCCCCCTTCTATCCTGGAGGATGGCATGGAGGAGCTGGTCCTGGCAGAGCCCAGAGCTGTGTTTAATTTGAAACCAGAGAATTCTGGCCTCCCACTGCCAGGTCTCCATTCCCAGAGTATGCAGGGCAGGATCCTCGGGCCCAGCACCTCCTGAGACAGGGACAGGAGAGACAGTGCTTGCCTCTTCCTCACCCTGGTGCCCTTCCTCTCTCTACAACAGAAGCTCATGGCCTGGGAGCAGCAACCCCCAGAGCTCTTCCCTCGGTGAGTCCCAGCATGGCAGAGGAGGGCAGGCAGAGGACCCAGCTGCCCCGAGCAAGTGGCAGGAGGGGACTCCCAGGCTGACTGCCAGCTGGGGATCTAGGCCCCTCTCACCATAGCCTTCCCCTTCCAGGGGCACAAATCCCTTTGCCACCGTGAAGCTGCGTCCCACTGTCACCAACGACCGCTCGGCACCCCTCATCAGATGAGGTCCTTCTTCTGATGGGTCTGAGGTAGAACTGCACACCTGCCCAGGGCTGTTCAGAGCTTGTGGTGGTGGCAGTGACAGCAGGGGCTCCAGGATGCCCAGGTGGCCATCCTTCCTGGACCACTGCCAGAAGCAGCACCCTGGACGCTGACCTGCGGTCTGGGGCCTCCAGAGTACAGCAGGCAGAATTGGGAAATGGAGAAATTTCTTTCTCATGGGGCCCCAGGGCTCTCCCAGGGAGCTGCACACGTCTCCCCAGCCTCTTTCCCTTCCCTGCTCCTTGTACCACACATGTGCCCCGCACAGGGCCCCACTGAACTTTCATAAACGATGAGCAATAAAGGATGTGGACAAGGCAGCCAGAATGGTCGTGTCATTTGGGGGCAGGGTAGGAGGTCAGGAATGGGGACCCCAATGGGGAATGGAGTCCAAAGGTTCCAAAGGTCATGGCTACTCCCTGAGAGGCCCCCCATTTTGAGTAACTTTCAGGGCTACCCTCGGGCCACCCCTTTCAGTCTCTACTCTGGACCCCAGGGAACAGTGACAGCTCTGAACCCCAATACCTTCCCTTCATGTGGCCCCTGGACACAGCACCCTTTGTTCTGGCCCCTCCACCCCCATGCTGAGTGTCTGAGCCCCTGGATTAGCCTGATCCGGGAAGCCAGGAGCTCTCCTGGAATGTGGCCGGCAGGAGCCATGAGGATTGGGGGCTGTGCCCCCCATCACCAAACTGGGATTCCCTGGGCTTTGTGCCCTCTGCCTGAGACCCCTCCCCAGAGTTGGGGGGGTCCTCTTAGCCCTCCCTGGCCAGGACAGGACAGGGAGTCCCTGCAGAGGCTGGCCCAGTGCTCATGGTCACAGCAGCCCTTTCCCCTTGTTGGGCAAAAGCCTCTTAGCGGGACTTGGGTGGGGGCCACTCTAAACCCCAGGCCAGGGCGAGAGAGTGAGCAGGCAGCAGTGGATCTCCAGCTGCTGGTACGGGGCAGCCTGTGAGCCCCATCCCGGCCAGCGTCACAGGAGCCTGCCAGGCCCTTCCTCTCAGCAGGCCTTGGGAGATGAGGCCGATGTCCAGAGCAAGCCAGGCCTGGTGAGTGCAGGGCGGGTGCTACAGGGACCTGGGGCCCGTGGAAGAGGGCAGGGTCCCAGGTTCAGCAGGGGAGGAGGATAGCCTTGTCTAGCGCCAATAAGGATACTTCAGGAGCTGAGGGTGCAGGGTAACAAGGCCTAGTGCACCCTCCTGGTCTGTGACCCAGATGCAGGGCTGCAGAGAAGCACCGCGTGGCACCGCAGGGGTGAGAGGCAGGGGCACCACTGTCTGTGGTGGAGGGCTGGGGGCTGCTGGGCGTGGGCGGCAGGTCTCTAGTGATCCTCCAGCCCCCTTCTAACTGGCCAAGGTGAGATCAATCACCCATCAGGTGGGGAAACTGAGGTTCAGCCAAGGGAGGGGCCTGCCCCAGTCACAGAGCTGGGGTGACCTAGACCTCAGCTCCCCTGGCTTCTGAGACAAAGCTAATGTTTCGTGTGACCTGGGTTTCCCTTAATGCCCCAGTGACAGCTGTCACTCCCATCATCAGGAAAAAGTAGGAACATACATTAAGGCCAGTACAAAACTACCTCACAACCCACTCTGCAGCTGGCACCTGTTCCTGGAGCTTTTATTGTCCAGAGACCCTCACACATCCTCCTGGGGACACTGGCCATCCCCCAGTACACCTCTGTGCACATAGTGGCTGCCTGGCTCTGACACCACATCCCTTCTGCTGTCTCTAGGTCCTGACAGGGAAACGCCCCCCCAAGGGAGCCTTCCTGGAGTCCTCTCAGGTGGGACACCCAGTGCCCTCCGGCAACCTCCCCAGCCCCTGGTGTGGAGAAAGGGCCTTCGTACAGCCCCTCCAGGGCTCCATCCCGCTCCTCTGGACTACGTAAACCCTGCCACTTCCTCTTGTCCCCATCTTCTCCAGCAGAGGCTGTGGCTATGGGAGCTGGTGGCCCCCGGCGGGGTGTGGGCCCCCCCGATGGCGGCTGGGGCTGGGTGGTGCTGGCTGCCTGCTTCGTGGTCACCGGCTTCGCCTACGGCTTCCCGAAGGCCGTCAGCGTCTTCTTCCGCTCGCTCATGCGCGACTTTGGAGCAGGCTACAGCGACACGGCCTGGGTCTCCTCCATCATGCTGGCCATGCTCTACGGCACGGGTCAGCGCTCTCCCGGGGCCCGCGGGGCCCAGAATCCGGGTGGGGATAGGGGTGGAAACCAGGAGATCCGGGTCCCTGCTCAGGAAAACCCCTGCTTCCTATGGAAACTGCAGTGCCAGAAAGGGGAGGAGGGGGCCAGAGAGAAACAGGGACCAGTTGAAGCCCGCCCACGGAGAGGACCTTGCCAGCATGGGGCAGCTCTGCCCTGCAGACCTGCGCGGCCGCCATTCAGCAGTGCGCAAACAGATCTAAAGACATTTCAGCTCCCTCCCGCTGCCTCAACTCCTGCAGGGGCTGAGCGGGACGGGGCTGGGGAGCACCTGGGAGGAACTTGGCCAAGACCCACCAGGTGCAGACATGGAGTCAGTGATGAGGCGGCGGAAGCCACCGCAGCTGAGGGTCATGGTTCCAGGCGGCTGGGGGCGGGGAAGGGCGGAAGGGGACGTCTGGGCCGAGCCCCCTCACGCTTCCTGCGTGCTCTCCGGGTCTGGACCTGGGTGACCCTCTCCTTCCCACAACGACGCCACCTTCCAGGGCTGGGAGGCACAGCGCCTGACCTGGAGAGGAGGGAGGTCCAGCCCCATGGTGACCTTGCCTACCCACAGGGCCCGTGTCCAGCGTCCTCGTGACGCGCTTTGGCTGTCGCCCGGTGATGCTGGCGGGCGGGCTGCTGGCGGCGGCGGGCATGATCCTGGCCTCCTTCGCCAGGCGCCTGCTAGAGCTGTACCTGACGGCCGGAGTGCTCACAGGTGAGGGCGCTGCCGCGTCCCCTGCGGGGTCGGACGGGGCCATGCCCTAATCCTCCTGTCCCATCTCCGGGGGTGGGGGCCCCCATGTCCCCACCTCGGCTTCGCTGGCCGCCTGCCCCTGGGGACCCCTGCACAGCGCCGCCTCGCCCGCAGGCCTGGGCCTGGCCCTCAACTTCCAGCCGTCGCTCATCATGCTGGGGCTGTACTTCGAGCGGCGGCGGCCTCTGGCCAACGGGCTGGCGGCAGCGGGCAGCCCTGTGTTCCTGTCCGCGCTGTCGCCGCTCGGCCAGGTGCTGCTCGAGCGCTTCGGCTGGCGCGGTGGCTTCCTGCTCTTCGGCGGCCTCCTGTTGCACTGCTGCGCGTGCGGAGCCGTCATGCGGCCGCCGCCCACTGGCCTGGGCCGGCGGCAGCGCGCTGACCGCGCGGAGGACACCGCGGGGGACGCGCCCGGGGATGCGGCGGCGGTGGGCGCGCGGCGGAACCTGCGCGCGGCGCCCCCTAGCGGCCGGGCCCGCCGGCGCCTGCTGGACGTGGCGGTGTGCACCGACCGTGCCTTCGTCGTGTACGTGATCACCAAGTTCCTGATGGCGCTTGGGCTTTTCGTACCCGCCATCCTGCTGGTGAACTACGCCAAGGACGCGGGCGTGCCTGACACCGACGCCGCCTTCCTACTGTCCATAGTGGGCTTTGTCGACATCGTGGCGCGGCCGGCGTGCGGAGCCCTGGCGGGCCTGCCGCGCCTGCGACCGCACGTCCCCTACCTCTTCAGCCTGGCCCTACTGGCCAATGGGCTCACGGACCTGGGCAGCGCGCGCGCGCGCTCCTACGGCGCCCTGGTCGCCTTCTGCGTGGCCTTTGGCCTCTCCTACGGCATGGTGGGCGCCCTGCAGTTCGAGGTGCTCATGGCGGCGGTGGGCGCACCCCGCTTCCCCAGTGCGCTGGGCCTGGTGCTGCTCGTGGAGGCCGTGGCCGTGCTCATAGGACCGCCCTCTGCCGGTGCGCCCCGGAGGAGCAGGGGGGTGGCGAGGGTCGGGTCCTTAGTGCCAGATGAAATTTCCAGGGATGAGGAAAAGCGACCGTGGCGGAAACAGCCTGGTGGGTGGACACCAGCCCCGTCGTGGCCAAATGGCCTTCCGCTCAGCCAGGGACCCCCAGCCGTGGGTGAGGCACCCATTGCAGGAAGAAACCAACACCGGTAGCAACCTCTCGGCCATCTCAAGCAGACAGTACAGCGCAGCTCCATAGTCCCCCTTCACAGATGGGGAAACAGAGGCCCTGCAGCCGGTTTAGCACAGCTTGCACTCTCAGAACCGAAATCTCGCAGTCCAAAATGCCAGCAGCCCACCTGAAACAGTGCATTGGTGCTTTGGTCCCCCAGCCTATAAGGGGATGGAACAGGGCCAGCATTTGGGCAGCCGAATGGGTTGCTAGGGAGGTGCAGCTGCCTGCTGAGCACTCGCTGTTCCTAGTCCATCTTAGAGAAGCACCATCCCGAGGGTGGCGGTGAGGTATCTTGGCCCAGCCCACGAGGGAGGGCACAGCATGCACAGGCCTGGGGTATTCTGAGTGAGGCAGGAGCTCAAATGCTAAGAGGAGCCTGGGTTTTGCTGCCCTTGGACCAGAGAGATAAGCCAGGCTGTAGAAGGAACAGTGAGACCCGGTAGGAACAGCCACACCCTGGAAACACCACCCAGAGCTCATCTGCCATCTGTGTAGCCTAGGTGGGCAGAGGAGGCAACCTGAGCAGAGAAGGTGGTGGATGCTCTAGCGCTGGAGGAAGGAGGGACAGGGACAGACTGGGCTGGCTGGGCAGGGACCAGGACGTTTAGAGGAATACTGTTCGGAGGGACTTGAGTGGCAGTTGGCCCAGGGGATATCAGGAACTTCTCAAGGTCTAGGCCTGGTGTGGTCACCCACAAGAATGCCCAGTGTGTGTGTGGGGGGGGGTAGCCCAGAGGAACCACACTTAAGGGGAAAATATTTGGAGTTAAATGTTTTTCTAGCTGGGCGTGATGTTGCACGCCTATAATCCAGCACTCAGGAGGCAGGAGTAAGACCTCGAGTTCCAGGCTAGCCTGAACTACAGGGCTAGTCTGACCTACATAGTAGTTATGTAACGGGGGATCAAACTCAGGACCTCACACCCCAGCTCTACATAGTAGTTTTATGAGACCTTGTCTTAAAAAAAAAAAAAAAGAAAGATTTTCCAGGGACTGTAGCTCAGGGGTGGGGTCCAGGCTTAGCATACTAGACCCAGGCTTCCATCCCTATCACGTGCACACACACAAGATTAAAAAGCAACGTGCATGCAGAAGGAAACAGGGCCTGTTCAGGGGCACCTAGCTGACTCTTGGATGCCTGCGCGCCTGAGGGAATGACAGGAGGCTGGAGGAGACTGAGCCAAGTTCCTGGGGACTAAAGGACTATGGCAAGGGCAAGAGCTGGGAAACCCCAGAGGTCAGTGCAGGGCCCTCCCCACTGCCACCGAGCAGCTGAAGGCAGGCCTATATCACAGGACGCCATGGGTGAAGAGGGCGCCCTGTAACTGTAAAGTGCCGTCTTATCAGAAGCCCCATATTGCTTAGAAAATGGAGGCTCAAAGAGCAGAAGTGACATTTTAAATTCTTAAATGGCAGAACTCAATGGGGTGGTTGTCTCTATGAACTAGAAGACAAAGAGGGGTGGGGTGGTGCCACCAAAGAGCCCCCCCCAGTTGGCAGCCCTGTCCTTTACTGAGGGTGAGGGGGTACAGGAAGAGCCTGCAGGCCCTGACCTCCCGCTCCCCCCAGGCCGCCTGGTGGATGCGCTGAAGAACTACGAGATCATCTTCTACCTGGCTGGTTCAGAGGTGGCCCTCTCTGGGGTCTTCATGGCTGTTGCCACCTACTGTTGTCTCCGCCGCCAATCTCGCTCTCCGGAGGCCACCGCTGGCACAGCCACTGAGGGTGCCACCAGTGACACTGAAGACACTGAGGCCGGGGGGGACTCTGAACCGCTGCCGGCCGGCACTGAGGAGCCAGGCAGCTTACAGGCCCTGGAGATGCTGAGCCCCCGGGCTGGGTCTGTGGAGCCTGAGGTGGAGGCAGAACCAGGCCCAGGCCAGGAGTCTGTGTAGTGCATGGCCGAGGTGTCCTGGGGGGCTCCAGAGCCCGGCTTCCTCTTCCCAGAGGCCTTGGCACACTGGGAAGCAGGGCCGGGCAGTCCTCCCCTGAGGCAAGCCTGAGCTGCTGTTATTCCCCAGGCGTCCTGCGAACATCCTTTGCATTTGCCAGGCCCTGTTGCCTTGCTGGTCAAACAGTTGTGGACTGACAGAGAAGCCCATAAACCTCAACTAAAAAATAGTTCTATTCCTGTGCCTCTACCCAGGGCTCTGGGTGTGGCCCAAGTTGGGGTGGTGGAGGGTCTGAGGGGTCTCTCTGGGCCCTTCTGGAGTTGGGGGTCAGGGAAAGGTGAAAGGCAGGGGGGATCCCAGGGCTGGCGGTTAAGCTGGGCACTGAGCCTCTGGGCTGCCACCTGCACCTCCCCTGGAGGCGATGGGGTTGGTGGCACCTTGCAGAGAGCAGTGGTGACGAAGCCCAAGTCCCAGGGCCAGGGTGGGCCAGGGAAGTCTGTTCAGTGGCTGGGCCTCCCTCACACTTGGGGGTCGGAATGAATCCAGGTGCTCGCCCAGGCCTGAGGCGGCCGATGTCACAGCGCAATATCCCTTACCATCCCAAGGGGCACCTTTCCCTCTAGAGAATGAACTTGGGGTCCCAGGGCCAGGACCTGTGGCTTTGCGCTGAGCATGGCACTCTGGACAGCCTGGTCATCTACTGACTCTGTCCTTTGCACCCCCATAGAGCTCAGGTCCAACACCAACAAAATGGGGGTGGAACCCAGGGCTTCCCGGGAGCGCACCCTATCCCTGGCACTGCCTTGTCTACTGTAAACCCAGGTTCAAGGACTCCCAGTCTCTCCTGGCTTTCAGTCAGGCCTCTCAACACCCAGGTCAGAGAGCCCTCCCCAGGGTGCTGGCTGGGCCTCACTGTCCCAGCATGGCCACAGAAGACAGGCTGCCAGCCAAAGGTCTGGGCAACGTGTATCTGTGTCCCCCATGCCACCTGAGTGGTGACTGTCCTTCCAGCACTTTAGGAGGCTCCATCTGGGCCCAGCAAAGTTCACGGAAGCCCTTATGAACATCAACTGTAAAATCCTAACAGCCCACCTACATAGATGCGTTGGCTAGCTGTGCTTCACAGAGAGGGAAACCAAGGCACAGGGACCTGCCTAGGGTCACTAAGGCCATACTTGGAACCCAGGCTGTGGGTTCTGGGCTGTCCTCTCAGGGTATACGGGCACAGCTCTGCAGGGACCCAGTGAGCTCCTGCTGACAGCACACCCCTCTCCTGCCTAGTACCTGTACCCCACATGCTGAGCAAAACCGGTTTCCTCTCATTCTGGACTCTACCTGCCTCCCACATCTGTCCCCTCCACTTCTCAGGATGGCCACACCTACTGTCCCAACAGGGACATTTCTGAATGAAAGGGCCACTGCTACTGTTCACACCAGACCTGCAGGTGTGAGCTGCGGCTAGCTGGGCAAAGCCAACTTGTGCCCACCCTATTCTGTCCCTGCACAAAGACAGCCTAAGGTGGCCCCACACTGGCCTGGGTATACCAGGGCCACCTGAGGTTGCCACTGTCTCCCTAACCTGGGTCTGAGTGGCCCTGAGTGGCCCTGACCCAATGTCCTGCCCCTCTCCAAGGGTGCAGGAGGGCATGGTGCGGTGGTGGTAGGTGGCCGGGGCGGGGTCTGGGACCTGGTAGGTGGGAATTCATTCCCCACCCCTTCCCCTGGGCTTTGAGGCCTTGATCAGTTGCTTCCCTGAAACTTGCGTTCCGGTCTGATGGGGATCACAGTGCTAACCCTGCAGGGCACTGTGAGGAAAGACTTGTCCAGGCATGGGGACTTGCCAGGGATCCTGGTGACACAGGAGGGTCTGAGACACTGCAGAGTCCAGCTTTGCTGGGTTTGTTTATTCAGTACAGGCCCTGAGCCCAGCCCTTCTCCAGAAGTGGCAGAGCTGAGGGGAGAAAATAAATAAAAGCTGCCACTGTGCATGTGGCCTTGGCGGGCTGCTGCACCCGGTGCAAGACACAGGCCCTGCCGCGCACCCACCTGACTCTTGCCCAGGCAGGCGAGGGGCCCATGAAGACGCCCCAGGACGGGCCCTGGGCTTCTGCCCCTGCAGCCCTCTTCCTTCCCACCTCTGCTCCTAGGCAGGTCCGGAGGCCACGCTCTCCCTGGGCTGGGGAGGCGGGAGAAAAGGGTGGTGCTGTCCAGCAGGAGCCTGGGCCCACTGTGAGCGGGCCACAGGGGAGGCCTACAGGCCTTTCCGCGCCCGACCCCCAGATCCGGCACCAGGTCAGGCGCTCAGGAATCACACCAGCTTCCGCCCTTGTCCAGGGGCCCAGGGGCCCCGCGCACGTCCCGGGCAGGCTCTTTGGCTGCCAGATCCTCCTCCTCGTCCTCGCCATCCTCGGTGAACTCGCCCTGGCCAGGGCCGTAGGCAAGTGTGGTGTGGGCCAGATCCACCTCGATGGGGAACACATCGGCGTCGCGCAGAACCGCGTAGCAATCGTTGTAGTACTTGGACATGGTGGACACGAAGCGCTGCAGCTGGAACACGATGTCCTGGACTGGGGCAGGGGGTGGGCGACAGGCCTGGTGGCTGTGGCTGCAGGCACGGGGGCCTTCCTCCATCCCAGCCCTGGGGGCAGGCACGAAGCCCTGGATCCTTTGGGCCCAGCACCCGCCTACCGTGCTTCTGGTCCAGCAGCTCCATCTTCTCCAACACGTCCTTACGCATCTGCGAGAAGCGCGCACGCGCCTCCTGGCGGCAGCGCAGGATCAGGCGGTACTCGTAGTTGCCGGTGCTCACGCGGTACAGCGGCTCGCCCAGGGCCTGCGGTGGGGGTGGGACACATCAGGGCCCAGGGGCCCGGGCCAGAAGGGGGTCTACCGCTTGGGGTCAGAGAGGGTGGGTAGGGAGGCTGCAGGGCCCACCCGCAACTCACACCTCTCAGACCCTTACTTCCTAGCTGCCAACAAAGCGCATAACAATAGATTTGGTGGGAGGAGCGAACAACAAAACCCCAACCAACCCTTGTCACACTGAATAAGTGATAGCAAAAGTATTGCAGATTTTTAAAAATAAAGCGCTAGGAAGGATTGGGGAAATAGCCCTGCGGCATACACGCCTGCCTGGCAAGCACAAGGTCCTGAGTCGGAACCTTGATACCAAAACAGAAGAGCTAGGAATGGAGCCAACTAGTTTTCACTTGCGGGGGTCACAACTGGAGTCAGCAGGCCTAGGAGTTGAGCTGGGGTGGGGTGGCCCCAAATTCTGCCAGGGAGAAGCCAGGCCGAGGCCCCCAGGTCTCTCCTGGCTTGGCTGCCACTCTGATAACCCCGGCAGACCCAGGGCTCTGTGAAGCAGGCAGACCCAGGGCTCTGTGAAGCAGGCAGACCCAGGGCTCTGTGAAGCAGGCAGGGGAGCGGCACGGCCAGGATACTCACAATGCAGCTGTACTCCTCGTCGTCCATCTCCTTCACCTTCAGGCAGTAGGACTGGGGTGAGAGAGGCCGGCAGTCAGAGCCCACCACACTGTCTCCCCACCCCTCGAGCCCGCTGTGCCCCAGGGCTGCCCCAGGGAGCTGTATGCAGCAGACTGGAGCAGCCAGGCCAGGTCCCCGGCTCCTGCAGACGCCCAGCTGGGCTCAGCTGAGCTCCGGAAGATCTGCCAGCTGCCCTGCCCACGAGTCTCCAGCCTGGCCAAGTCCCACATGCCAGGTTAGGCAGCACGGGGACTCTGGGCCCCCGCCCTCCTTAGGCTCTCATGCAGGACAGAGCCTGGGGTGCCTCCTGGTCTGAAGCCACCTGCAGCGCTCACCAGGTACTCAAACTTTACATCCAGGTACTTCTTGATGGTGAGCCGCGTGTCGGGGATGGCTTTGTTGAGGTAAGTGTTCAGGTCCGTCAGCATCTGAGGGGTCAGGCAGGGTGGCCGTGTGACAAGGAATGCCACTAATGCGTCATTCCCTCCAGTGGACTCAGACTGCCAGGGCAAGTGGCCTTCTATTTCAAGGCCAAAAGCATGGTCCAGGCCACAGGTGAGGTATGACTCGGTGGCAGAAGAGGACACTGAACACAGCCTCAAGGTCAACACCGAGCCCTGAGGGGGTGCCAGGGCTTTCAGGTGGCCAGTCATGTCGGTGACCCAACCAGGACTCCAGGTTGGGACCCTCTGCATGCCATGTGTCCCTTGCTGCCATCACACCCACGCTCACCAGGACCTACCGGCTTGATGGTTTTCAGCAGCCGGATGCCAAACTTCTCAATGCTGCGGTGTGCATCAGCAAACTTCACAAAGGCCTCACTGGCTGCCGGCTGGGGCTCCCGCACCCCGATCACGGAGAACACATCCCCGAAGGCTGCAGGACAAGTCTGCCTTAATGGCTGCCCCTACTTGGCCCCCTAATAAAGAGTGGGACAGGGACCCTGACAGCTCTGTGGATTCTCACACAGAACTGGGTCTGTACCCCTGGGCAGCAGCGTCTATGTCCCTCGGGAGCTGGTCTGCACCCCTGGGAAGCAGCGTCTATATCCCTTGGGAGCTGGTCTGCACCCCTAGGAAGCAGCGTCTATGTCCCTCGGGAGCTGGGTCTGGACACCTGGGCAGCAGCGTCTATGTCCCTGGGGAGCTGGGTCTGCACCCCTGGGCAGCAGCGTCTATGTCCCT